TATATTAGAAGGGTGAGATCTCTTGATGCTTCTCGACTTCCTCTTCATGCTTTGGGTGCCACACGTTTCAAGGGATGGTTTGCAATGTGATTACTTGGTCTTTGAGGTGGAATGTGACGGAATTGGATTGGGATATGCAACCTATGGCCCTTCGCGAGCGTATTAAGGAGGAGTTTCTCAACATCATTTGGAGGAGAGGAGGCACTAAAATGCAGTTTTATCAACTTCATGTGAATCCTATGCTTATTTATTGTGAGCAAGGGTACCTTGTTGCAGAGATTGCTACATCTTTACGTCATATTATTGCCAGGCATAGACCAGGATCTCATAGGCTTGGAATTGAGGAAGGACGTTGGTTGAATATTGATAGGAGTGAACGGATTTGTAGGCTATGTGATGGGAGAAATGTTGAGGATGAAGAGCATGTGTTTATTACTTGTACTAGATATATAGAGATTCGAGTGGCGCATAAAGTTGATGTCGAGAAGTTTATGCTTCAACTCGAGCCTTATGATTTAGATTGTTACATTAGAGATATTATTAGTTACCGTTCTAGTGCTTTGGGCACTAGTTAGGGGGTTCTTTTGGTTCTCTCCTAGTTTGGAGTTGAATTGTTTGTATTGTGTTTTTTAGCCTTTTGACCCTTTGGGTCCCACGGGCTTGATCTATTTACCATTTACCATAATGAATGCCATAATTTTCTTCGAGATGCATATGAGTCATAACGATGATGTGTGTTCCTTGTGGCTTCATCTTGCCCTCCATAATATATAAATATACTATGTTTTGAATGTGTTATTGAGTTCCCTTCTATCATACGAAATTATTTTAATTTTTATCAATAGTGTAAAATAGAGTCATGAGTAAAGCCTTGAAAAGTGGTTTTCAAGAGTGTATTTTATGCTTTAGATAACCAGATTATATAAATGCCACATCAAGTTCTACTATAACTTACTCGTTGATTGATTATTTGATTGTCTCGTGAAAGATACACTAGATCTTGATTTCATGATGTACATTGATGAGAATAAGTAAAGCGGAGTGATTGGAATATACTACATATACAACACATCAAATATGATCGGAGCTTCATATGTAACCTACCTTTATTTGCGTGCAACACATTCACTAACATTTGTCGATTTTGAACACTAAAAAATGTACCAAATTTATCTTATTAGTAGAGTATTTGAATAAAAACATTTCATCATCAACGCAGCTTCAAATCTGAACCTATTTTTCATTGATTCTGATATGGGCTTTACATCATTTAGGTATTATATAATGTGTGTATTGTGTACTGCAGGAATGAGTTGACAAGTTTAATATGAAATTCTTCTTGATGTCAAATTTGAGTCTCAAGCCATGCGACTTGAATTGTGATTCATTAAGCACAATTCCAAAGTTCACTTATTTTCTATTTTTTACGTTTGATTTTTATATAGGTTTTCATTTTTCGTTGAAGTTAACGAGTTACGTTTTGTAAACTGAGCAAAAACGGATGATCGAATACAGTGATGAAGTTCCCAAGGATATTTTTTATCAGTACGTAATTTCATTTGTAAATTTTAATGCACTAGGAATAAATAATTTCTTTGGATAGGAAGTCAAATGTGAATGAAAAATTGAATAAATTTAATACTTTTTGTTCGAAGAATTTGAAAACAAGGGGAGTCACATAGGAACATTCACAATTATGCAGATCAACATTTCAAAAAATTACTATTCTTAAGCATTAACTTTAACAGAAATCTCGGACTTTTTTCATCAAAAAACATTGTTCGTTTCCAAAACATCGCATTACTTGTTGATGTACAAACATGTGTTTTCCTAAGTAGGTATTCAGACCATGAAAACTCAATCACTCATTGCAAGTTTGAATTATGTGATTGTCATGGAGTATGGATGCAATTATATTAAGTCTGTATCTTGTAACCAAGAGAAAATGGAATTAACATTATTATCCTTATTTCATATATATTTTGTATCAATTAATACAATAATGATCATACATTGAATGTATGATTTTGTTTATAAACTGATACACCAGACTGGTGTTATTTGGTTGCAGGATTACCATTATCGAAATTAGTGTGATCAGCACCTTTTAAAAACACATACTTATTGAACGTATAAATCAATCAGAATATATCTATCTAGGTGAAAGAACAGCTGGACTCATGACTTCATTTTTCCACCTTTAATGGCCTGGCATGGGGGTTTCCTTTTTTGGCTTACGAGAATTTTGTTTCTCTTTTTAAAATGGTAATTCTATCTTTTTAAATTTTGATAAGAACAAAGTTTGGGGAATCGCAAGAAGTAATTTGAAAATCTGTCTATCAAAAGGATGGTAGCTCCAAAAGTTGAGTGGTCAATATACATAACGGCTAGTATTGGTTTCTTCGACGGGTTGGCATCAGAATATTTTTTCCTTTGTTTCTGCATTGAAGTATATGGGGTATGCATTTGAGAAAGAAAAAGCGATTTTGTGCACGATAAAAAATAAAAGGCAATTATGGGATATTTCTTTAAGGGGAATTGCTGTTCTACAAAGGTTAAATAGGTAAATATATATGGGCACCAATGTCATGTTATATGCAACCTTAGAAAACGCAATAGAAACTTTAAACTTTGGTGATCTTCTATCGAGACCTGAAATTTAATAGAGAATTCAAGTTTAATGTTTATACAGCACTTCGTTTCGGAATGTAGAAGGTTTTATCCTTATGTAGTGATTCAATACTGCCAATGAATAGTTACCTGTGATGATTAATATCACAAAGCCAATCAATTCATTATGTTGCCCATCTCCCAGGATATTTTTTTAAAAGCCCACAGGTCGTCATTCTAATCAATAAATTAAATCATAGAGCAGCACTACTGTAAAAACGTTGAAATTTATGTGTGTGATGTAAGACTTTGGAAGTGTATAATGAAATGGTGCGAAAATTGGAGAAGTGTTCTGATGCAAAACTAATGTTGTTAAAAAAAAGACACGGCCTGTGGAGACAGCTGCGTCATTTTTATTTTGAACAGGTGAGTTCATAAACCAATTTGATTCACACTAGCATTTAAGATATCCGCATTATTTGCATCCTAAGTTCAAACATTACCTTCCCATAGGAAAATACTCGGTGAGGCTTCTATCAAGATTCAGAAATTTATATCATTACAGTATTATATTCATCATATAGTTGTTGGTTAAAAGACTTAGTTAAAAGACTCGGATGATGAGAAGATGCAAGGGCCAAAACATGAACAATAATTGCTAATGCGAGATTATTTTATTGGTAATGTGAGACATCAAAATTGAATACATGTGTTTATATTCATTCATGAATGGGGTAGCTTCTATGGTGGAAATTTTGATCATGTCGTGAAGCTGGTGCACTTAGGAATCCAAGGCCAAGTTTTTTAGTAGGTAATATTCCAATTTGTAAATTATTACTAAATTACCAAGTTACAAAAAATAGTATGGGAACATGAATAACGGTGGGCTCTAGTATCATCGGGTAAAATGAATTGTGTTAAAACCCACCAAGTGTTTTGCTTTTGTGTGTATCTCATCAAGTAATAATATTTGAAAACACCGTGTGTACATTCGAATGAGTTTTTTTTTTCTAGACCATAATTTGATTGTTTTTTTGTTTGGAAAAAAGCAGAAATTATTGAGATAATCAGAGTGTGTATAAATCAATATATATAATATATTGTATAAACGATCACATACTTTGTTAAAGCCACCATAGACGTGTGTTCACATGACATTTCAAAACCAAATTATTTTTTTTGCACTCGAGCCCAAGTATCAATTGCGAGCGTGTTTTTGGCTTCCTCCTCCTTTATGTGCAAAAAACATCGCCAAAGTTGATATTTTCATGAACCCATCCATTGCCATGGAGAAAAGTATTGACCAACTCAATCACAAGCTCGTTATGGATAGATGAAGGAGATTGCTGAAGATCAAATGAAGAACATAAGATTTGAAGTAGCTGCCACTATAGCTCTTCAAGAAGAGTTGTAGATACACATCACACACATCTTTGAATATACAAACTCGGCGGCATTTTATGCAAAGCTTGTGATAGTTCAGCCAAAGTATGTTCAACTGGTGCGCAAAATTAGGATAAAATAGATCTTGTATTGTAATAATTCTTTCAATATAGAGTGCTGGCCATCAAGTCGATGTGTAGAACATGTTTGATAGGTTACATGACCTGTCAAAATTGAATTTTATCTCATATAAGTTATGGACTCATGTTGTTTCTTTATTACATTTTATCAAGGTGATGTTGTTTTCAACCATGTAAGTAATTTTTGACAAGAGACTCGTATGTGTTCGTTTTATATAAAATATATATATATATATATATATATATGTTAGATGTATGGTGTGAAAACGTCCAACGAACTTTAGAAAGTATAAAGCCTATGTCAGTTAGCTGGTACTTTGGAAACATCCACAAATAGGTTGATCATAAATTTTTTTAACCATTTCCAATCATCATCTACAAGTCATTCATATTTGACAATAGCTGATTGCATTTCTAATCAATATAAAGCAAGATGACGTCTTTCTACTTTCACTCAACAGTATACTCAGCATATCCGTTTGAGGCTGCAAGCCAAGCATTGTATTGCGCTTGAAGTGTTTAGAAAGATTTTTAAGTAGAATAAAATTGTTGAGGAGAGATAATCATTATTTAAATAAAGTGACAATAAAATTTCCTCAATTCAGTAAGTAATATATATATATATATATATATATATATAATATCTGTATATTAGGAAAAGAAGACACGATGTGGAAATAAGATGCACTGGTCATGATGGAGATAAAAACTGCATCATGGTGGAGTGTTTCAAATGTTTCCACTCTAGTTTTCGTGACAAATGCTTCACTTTATTAATCTTAAATCACACGAGATTCGTGAAATTGACTAGTATGCAGGTGGAAATTCATGCATATTGCTAATGATGTCTCTTTTCATGCTAGTATAAAATGAATACACAAAGATCATGGAAAACCTCTGCTGCAAGTTGCTTGTATTTGCTAGAAGTATTTGTAGATCTATTCATCTAATGGAGGAATCTTCAAATCTCCTTAGCCTTGCATGGTAGTTTCAAGATAGGGACAAGATCTCGAAACTTTCAACCTCAACTTTACCAAAACTGTTCGGGAGAAGTGTGACTGGATGATGTACAAGTATTGCAGAGAGTTTGACCAACTAAAAAACTAATAAAACCGTGAGATCTTGCATGTGACCCATTGCAGACAATGCCACAATCTTACATCCGAATGACCAAGCAAGCAGGGATGGATGTGGAAAACAAGGTTGATGTGTATGCAACTATGCAGCACCATTGAGCAGAACCCTAGAACGAGACAGAACCATGTCGGTGTTCCGGGACTCAGATCGTCGTTTGTCGAAGCATGATGGATCATGTACAGGGATTCAGCTATTGTAACGCTTAGGATCCCTGTTCCAAACGTCGAGTGAAGATTCCAGTAAAGCCTCGAGTGCTCCGCAATCTCCGCAGGGGCATCAATCATAAAACTGTAGAGGAGCCGCTGCCCTCACCACAAAGTCAATTCCTCTCGTCATCAGGTTGTCTTGAGCTTCTCCATTCGTCCGCACATGCACATATCTCTCTCCTCCAATATACCTTAAAATGGAATTAAAAAAAAAAAAAAAACCAAAGTCGTAATCCATCGTGGGCTATCTAACATGTGGAAGGAGAATAACAAGAAAAGAATTTCCATGTTCAGTACTATTTTGATTCATGAAAAATCCTCGAAGTTAGTAACCTGATGCACAAATAAACCCTGAGCCGGTGGAATTTCTGCGCCTTTGACCTGATAATCGAGAAAGTGAAAGTCGCAGCGACCCTGGGTGATATAAAACAGTTTCATAGCAGACCAACGACCGTAAAGAAAACATTAAGATTCCCAAAAGTCAAATATGTGAAAACGTAGAACACTTGAGAATGTGATCGCTAACATACTGACGTATTACACGTATTGTAAACACGGAACTCTAACGTGAGCTCAAGACAGCGCAACCGAGTGATAGGTTCACTACGAAGAATATGTAATGCTCTAAAAGTAAAGGGACAGAGAATTGGAGGTTGACAATGAGAACTGCAATGAAAAAGCTAAACCAACTTTAGATTTCGAGGTGCAAACTCTTACGACTCGTACGAGAGAAGATTAGTCAGTCAGTACAATCAGCGGGAGTGTTGCATTCGATCAAAAGCGACCCCCGAGCCGTCAGTCGAGACTCAAAGGCGGACTACGTTCAAATACTTGTATCCGCCGTCCGTCGTCGTCGTCGTACTACCGCGTAAAAGGAATGGCGGAGGGCAGGGGCTGACATATTTCGCGCACACGGAATCCAACGTTCGGGGAGCAGGACAGAAAGATGGACGGACGGACAGACGGACGGACCGGCCGACGAGAGTAGCATGCACGTGAGATGACGAACAGAGGAATTCAAATGGGCAACGATGTGGGTGGCCGATTCGAACTGGGGGGCAACGGCTAGAAGCATGAGTGCATGATTCCATGCATGGCTTGCTGCGAACCGGGGGGCTTCGACGGAAGCCGGTGAGCCGGGAGCTTTGCGAAGGGCGGAGCCCCGAGAAAAACAAGAGGCGCACCAGGCGCACCGAGAATCGGAGGGCCCGGCCCATGCACATGCACACATGCGCATGCCCATGCCCATGTCAGGTGTCGTCCATGCGACTCCAGAGACGAGAGCCAGGCTCCAGGCGCCGGGAGCAAGTCAAGACTCGAGGAGAGGATTCAGAGGATTCAGAGGATCCGGAGGAATAGGCGGGGAGAGGATAGGAGGAGGCTGCTGCTGCTCTCGGTGTCGGGGCCGACGATCTTGGCGAGCGCGTAGCCAGTCAGGGCTGTGATGTTTGCAGATTCCTTGGCTGCTTCGTGTGTTCTCCGAGTGCTCTGCTTGGGTTTTAGATTTGCTCTGACGATGGCGGCGGTGGTGGTGGAGCCTTGCGTCTCGAGGACTCTGGCGTCGAGTCTGTGAGCGCGCACGGCGGCCCCTGGCGAAAATTTCTTGGTTTCGGTGAGGTGGTAGTGGTGGTACTTGTGCTCGAACGAGTCTGGGTCTGAACAATTGGCTGTACACGTTGCAGTGATCTTGATCTGCAGAGTGTGTCTTCGTGTGGTGGTTGGTCGGCTGTGAGTTTAGGGGCCATATGTTGTACAATGAGCAGCTCGTGCTTGTGTTTGTGGAGTGTTTGACGGAGGGGAAATTCCACGGGGGTAAAGTTGTCTAGCGAGCAGCGGCAAAGCTGGAGCCAAGATGGGGGTTGACACTGTGCAGTTTGCGCTGCCAGCCGAACTGGACACTTACATGCAGGATTCCATCTTTCATATGCTCGGATTTTGTACCTATGAAGATCGATTGAAGAAAAAACTCTCGAGAGCTGAGGAGTCTCAACGTGACCTCGCTCTTCAGTTGCAACAAATGCAGTTTCGCTTGCGGGAATCTGATCACAAACGTGCTAAATCGAAGGTGCCTGAACGATTCCACAATCATATTGTTTTTCTCGTGAGAATTATTTTTGGAGTTTCCTTTTCCTGTTTAAGGTTGTGTCCACCAGTTGAATGTCTCATTCTAGTTCTCTATATATATCAATTGATCCCAAGTCCGAAGACCACTTTTCTGGTGATGCTTTGGAGCCTGTGAATGCCTTCAAGATGTAAGTAATTTTTATCCAGATGCACAAGCCACCAAGAGGAGTTATCATGTGGAATATTTGCAGTATGTGGCTTACCTACAAACTGCTATATAGAAATGGTTCTGAAATGAAAAGTCATTGCTATCAGGAAGAAGCGGTTTTGAACGCGCAAGCTTTAAAAAGGCAGGTGGCCGAAAATCAGAAGCTGTTAGAACAATGTCGAGCTTTGAAAGACGAATGTAACAGGTTAGAGCAGGAGTGCAATTTGTATCACAACGATCGAGATGTCTTCATGGAAGCCGCCTATGAGGCGGAGGATCGTGCGGCGGAAGCTGACGACAGAGCCACGGAGGCAGAAGCAAAGAATGCAGTTTTAGAAGCAGAGCTTGACCAAATGAGGCTAGCAATGTCGATGAACGGAGGCAAAGAATCGGATGTAAGTCTCTGACTTAAAACTCATAAGCTACTTAAAACCTGCTATGGAAAACATCTCATTGAGGCAGTTGTGTTCATGAATACCCGATCTCATGATAGCAACCATCGAAGTGCTTCATCATATCCAAGTGTTAGATCTTACTCTGGTGGTTTGGGGGTGAATTATGCCGCTACGCATTTTCGTACTTCGATATTCTGTGAACGTCATTGCCCCCGCGATCTGGTTGTCGTTTAGAGATCAAACGATGCAGCTCTATATGGAATGATATATGCTGCTGGAATGAACCATCTGCGCAACTGCGAAAGTTTCCATCCACTCATAACTGCGCTTTCCTGCTACTTCATCTAACTACTGCGAATTTTAAGTTAGGACCAAGCACTCCTATCTATGTTAAAGGGTGTCGATACAAGTAGGCGTCTTACTGGATAATTTTTTTTTCAAGTTGATAAACTTTTGGAGAAATAAGCTGAGGCAAATTGAACTGGCTTTCAGATTGAGGCTGCGGAGGATTTGGCAGTATTGAAGTCAAGAATTGCAGAGTTGGAGGGACACAATGCGAGGTAAGTTTGACTGGGGATTAGCATTTCTTCGTTTAATTTACAGGATGGTCCTGCTAATTTGCATTGTCCAATTGTCTCGGGTATCCATACATCTGTTGATGCATGAGATGTTAGATGAGATGTTTGTTGATGCTCACAATTTCTAGGTTCTTGGTTTTGCAGTCTAAAGGAAAATCTGTCAATGCTTAGTTCTGAGGACTCTTTGCGCATGAGTTATAGTCCTGGGGAGACACTGCGTGTACCTGAGGGCGACGGGGAGAATCAGGTTTTAGTTCCCTTTGAGGTACTCAGAACCAAATATGGCCGTTGCTAACATTATTAGTTTTTTGGTGCCAGTGCTTAGCTTTCTCTTTAGCATAATGTAAATAAGCAAGTATGTGCGAGCTGATATGCGCTCAATTTGTTAGGACATTGATTCGAAATATTGGGCCTGATTCTATCGCTCTTGAGTGTGGCAGCAATTTGAAGAGACAAGACGGGAACTCCAACGCCTGCAAGATTCGTATGCCAATGAGGCAGCTGCAAGAAGAGATGAGAGGACTGTGCGTGCTTTGGTTTCTTCGGCGGTAACCTCAGGCATTTGCAGGGCCCTAGAGGAGGAGAAAGAGGAAACCATTAATGATCTCAATATGGAATTCTCATCCCTTTTGAGGTGTATGGAAGTGGAACTCAGTGCTTGTCGGGAAAGGTAACTTCGTTTTACGTCCAGATTTGATTAAAACCTAAACTTTAAACACATATAAGATATCTTCATATCTTCTTCTATGATCCAATGGGTTTCACATTAGCCAGATTGTGGACTAGGTCGCAATTGTTGATTATTCAACTAGTTTGATTCTTTTTAATCTTCATATCCCACTTTGCTTATCTGCATCTTGTTGTACGTTCTCGCCATAGATTTTGAACTTGTGAAGCGTTGATTTTTCCCTAAGACAACTTGATGTACATTGAGGCTCATCTGTATATTGAGATTTATAGAAATGACTAACAAACTGAAACTGATGTATACAGAGCAAAGTTCGCTGAAAAGAACGTTCAAAACTTGCTTCTAGAACTTCAGGCAGTAAGACAAGAAGCAGCAATATGCAGGAATAACCTTGACAAAGCTGAAGTTGAGGTATATAAACGAATTCTCTCTGTAGCAGTTCTCATCAATGTTGAAATTTTTAAATCTTGTCTGTCAATGAACGTGCCAGTACCCTTAGCAGTACATGCAGATTGTATATATGGTACATGTTAATATACGTTGACTCTCAGTTTTTGTGTACTTGGAGGCAAACTCCTCATGAAGAATGCCCCAGATTGCAACGAGGTTTCCATTGGAGTAACTTGTGTGTACCCGCGCTCTGTAATTCTGCAGGTGCAAATGCTGGCAGATGAGAACAAGGAAGTAAGGATTTTATTGAGACGCAGATATGCCGGTCTTGATTCACCGATGCAAAATAAAGGAGTAAGGTTTCAACACACTCTACATGCTTGGCACAAGTGTCCTCAACCTTTGGGTGTGTACTCTGCTGCGCAAAATCTTGCATCACATGTAGTCGTGTGTCCAGTGCATAACATGACTACTTGTGTTCTCTCTAACATATTGGTAATTTTTTACTTCCAAACATTCTGTGTACTTGCAATTTCAACTTGTGGACGGCGGAGACTAACCTTCTGGGCTGTTATGGAAATATGCAGAGTAATGTAGGTGGTTCTTCTAAATCGCGTGGAAGGTTGCGCTCCAAGCCTTATGAGGCCATCAGCGAGGAAAGCATTTGTGAAATATGTAAAGCAAGGCAGCCCCTTATGCCTCTGCAGGCCAACTCAGTTGACCGTAAAGTATCCCGTCGTCAACACCCTGCTGTCGATGGTAATTTTTTTATACGTAGTCCTAGTTCTCCATCTAGGGACATTTCACCTGGATCTCTATTCCAGGATTGACAACACAACAGAAGATTGTTGTGTTGGGATTCAGCAGTCAAAAGCAGGCACAGGTACATATTGACGAGGATTACGTTTGCTGCTTTTGGTAGCTTATCTATCCCTTGTGTGCTTTTATTTATTTAGAATCAGAAGAAAATCTGTGTGTGCGGCCGGCCTTGCACAGTTGTATAGTAATTGTCTTGATTAAAGAATTTATTGGTCGATATTTTGAAGAGCCAAGTAGGAGTGCCATTGACTATCAATTGTGTCATCATTTCTCAAGACACGCAAGACATCGAGATTTCAACAGCTTGTTTTCAGTCTAGGTCAATGACTTGGCCTTTTCGATTTCACCCCTGCCCGTAGTCTATGCTTGTTACTAGGGAAAGTAAGTCCATGTTTGCAGTCAAGATATCACATGATCAGCAGCAAAGGCATAGCATGTAAGCGAAGTCCAGTTGTGTAGTACGTATTGTCGGCACTTCGATGTCAAATCAGGCTATTAGTGGTTTGACGATTTAGTCGAATTGCACGGATATGCTATATACAGCTATTGAAAGTCACGATGATAAACGGAAGGATACAAAGGCTTTAAGCAGTATATAACCTTGAGGGTTGTCTGCCTTCTCCTGCGACAGATGTTTGTTGTGCAATTAGCAGGGAACTCGCCATTACCGTACCAAAAGTTTTCTAAAAGCACTCGCTTCTCTCCTTCGTGTCCCTCTTCTTTACCCGAGGTTTCGGTGTGTTGCCGGTGGATCTGGCCCGTGTCAACTTTGGGAGATACGAGCCAGAACGTGGACAGAGGGCAGTGCTTCAGTAACATGGTCTTATTTATGGTTTCAGGATCTTAGCACAAGTGAAACGTGCGAGACATCAAGAAGTGCACATAAACTATCATGTGGTGTGTTAACAACAACAAACAGTGTTGATATCTGCGGTAAGCCTAAGTATCCCCTGCCTCTGAAATGGTTTAAACGAACCCGGACCGGTGAAAGAGGGACTCAATCCGAATATGTCCACTCTGGTTTGCTGACTTCCGCTCCTTCAGGACAACGTTTATCTCATCACAAGGAGGTCAACGTGACGAAAGGGTTAAATTCTATTTAGATACATTCTGTCTTCAACCTGGCTCGTATTTCGAACAGACAGATACAGTTTGCGAGAAAAAATGGCCTAGTCTGTAAATTACACTTCCAACCCGATCAGCCCCACAGCTACTCTTTCGGTTGCGTAGTACAATGGCACCTACTCATTTTCCGTTGACATGTGTCTTGGACGTCGGGCAAGGTCTCTTTTGTTTCCACGCTCCATTGAGCTATCCACCGGAATAATCGCCTCTAGACAGCATGCTTGCTGCTCAAAAACTGTTTATGTTTTCCACCTGAAAATTTCTAACCTTAAGAATTGTACCAAGTTTACCTGATATCTCATCCACGAACTCCGTTTCCAATTCAGTTGAGCTTATTGCAGGCCTCTTCATCGCCTGCTCTTGCCTACTTGCTTGTTTGGGCAGGTATGCTAGCTCCCAGACCTTCATGTATCGTTTTCCTATACTTATTACGGTGGAGAGCAAGTCCGAGCTCCAGGAATTTTCAGCAAACACGACTGGGTCACTCAGGATAACCAAAGGTTCTGTTGTCTTGTCTGTAGAAACTTTTCTGCTCAATCCCACAAGCCCAGCTCCTTGGTTGGTGGAGACCACCAGTACTGCACTGCTGCGGTCAGTCCCCAAGCTTTAGATGGGCCTGCTGCTGATTCGCTAGTCCCCACGTCTGGCCTCACTGGGTTACAGAAATCTCTAACCCAGGCAGCCATGCATGCGCTGGATCACACATGCACTTTTTGCGCAGACAGATGAAGAGAGAGAGAGGAAAGGGAAGGGAGAGAAAGCTGAGGGGCTGACGTCTGTTCTATAACCAGATAGATCACTATACGCTTCTCATGTCTTTCCATGTTCCCCTTTCCTTGAACATTAAGGTGAATACTGTTGGTCAAGTTCGATGGATAAAATCACTCTATCGGGCCAAGCCATCAATGTTCCAGCGTGGGTTGCTAGACCTAATTATTGTGATGGTGGAATATATTTGTTGCATCTCTGTGACCTCACCGGGCTGAAACCCATCCTCTCGCACCGACGAAACTCCGATGCATCCATCGACACCATGTCACAATCTTTGGAGTTTGTACGTAGCCCCGGAAATACGAAACTGGTGTCGATCCATGATGATCATGAGAATGATGGAAAAGTGAACATAGCCTTCCTTGTTGGCCTCTCACCAATTTTCCCCTTTCCTGCAAATGCACTCCGACTCCCGCAAAATTCCTGTCGAATGATCGCGTTGCGCGATTTGTACGTTTCGAGCGGAACCCTCTTGAACTCCTTCGAGCACACCAGTTCACAGTCGGCGAGGGGTGCAGAAGAAGCAGCCCCAATAGCTGGCTTCCCTCTTCACTCTCCTCTTGGACTGACAGGGTTCATTCCTGTGAAGGTAAAACCTCTCTTCCCTCCACCATGGAAACCATTTTGCTGCTGTGTGCAGCAGCCAAATTCGGGAGTGTCGATCTGATTTGCTGCTGTGTGCAGCAATGTGTTATGCCAAAGTTATGAAGAAATGAGTACGAATATATACTCTCTGAAGATGTACACTCGACAGCTTTCTGATGCTGTACAATACGATGCATTACGAACACGGGGCTGGTATCAGATGCTGCAGATCCTGTCTTATTGGGGACCGAATCCAGTCGTCAAAAAAGGTGACAGTTTAAATTGGAAAAATAGTCTCAAATCAGTATCAAACGATGCACACAATAACAAGTGGAGAGGTGAAGTCTATGGGCGGAATGATGAGGAAGAATCTTCATGTTTTCGCACACAAGTGGAATGCACCTGTCTGAAATGCCGTAGAATCTTTACCTACTAAACGGATGGACTCGAAGCTACCACTACAACCTAGTCCATGCACGTTCACTGTCACATGTATGCATGCGTTTAGCCAGAACTTTCCCAGCCATTTACTTCGCTGTCTTTTATGCAAAATTATATCATTATTCTTCAAGTAGGACTTGGTTCTGAAGATCACGCCTTATTTCTAAAAGCCTAAAAGCTTCTCTGACCTCACAGTACCTTACCAGCTTTCGCTAACCATGTGATGTTAGAGTCGGTCAGAAGAAAGGAGATCAAATTGCTGAAAGATCGGATGAGCTACCTCTAATGTCCTCCCAACGACTTTGAGAAATTTGATGTCAAACTATCAAATATTATACGAATCTAGCTGCGATTTAAAGAGATTTCGTCACTGAACATATACTTTCTGGATTTGGAAGACATGACTCATGGTTTCCCTTGATTATTTGTTTCACATGAGGTTAACATATCTAGGAGTAACGATTCAAAGAAGTAAGTGATAGTAATGTAACGAATTATTGTTAAATAAAGATTCAAATTCCTCAAATAGCATTTCTTTTGAATATCAAAAAGCTGAAGTTGTTGAGTTTGCGCCTAAAAAATGATTAAAAATTAGTCCGTTTTCAACCAACTATGAGAGAAATCTCAAAAATAAAAAATTATCTTATTCCCCATTCATCAATTATTGAATTGAAAAAGATCTTGAAGTTGAAAGTTGCCTATCCGTGATAAGATTCTATTGTCGCATTAAGTGGGTTATGAAACGAATTTGCTTGAATATATCTCTAGATGAAGAATGTCTTTGAGAAACCATGATACCTGTTTCATGATTTCACGGGCCAAAGCTTTTGAAAAAAAAACTAACATCAGATTTTCATTTTTGTGCAAAAATGACATTATGAGGATTAGTGTAGCGGCACGCGTGATATGGTCATAATAACAAAGAACTGCTCTTTCACGATATTGTACATGATATGTAACACAATGAAAACTAATTCATTTGCCTCACATCAAACTTGAATCACTAGACATTCATTGTGCATCGCATTGATGAGGCAAATGACAACACAAACAATGCAACCAATCATGTTGCGGGTTTCATTATAAATCATGCCGAGTAGACAAACTTTTCAATAGTGACAACAAATATCCAAGAAAAATAAAATCATGACATCGCTAGTGTGCGAATCGAATATTAAAAACACAACTGCATGTAGATTAATAACATTATGAAAGACAAACAAAGAGACTTCAAAGAGTTAATTGAAATACAAGACGCTTTGATGCGTTGCCAAATACATAGTAATTAAAAACCTCCATGCATTGCACATATGTCAAGTCATGTGCTGCATATTGACACAGAACTTTGATAGATTTGGCGATGTCATTGCAAGAGTAAAGGATTGTGTTGAACATCGTACGCACAGCTTCATATGTTGGTTGCCTATCGATATGTTGGCTGCCAACGGTAGTAAAATGCTGCATACCAAGTATCGTACTACCAACTAAAATACAATGATTTTTGATTTTGGAATAATGATTGAGTAAGTTTAGCTAGCGTCGTCCTCGTCATCCTCTTGTTGTTCCACGCGTTGAAATAATGATAACAATTGTCCTTTTGTTAATACTGTCTTTTGAGCACGTTGGAAAATTATAGCATTGTGTTTAGACTCATTGTTAAATGCATGCTCCTTCCCATTATTATCTGAATTGTTGACGCTGCACACAATTACGATCATAATATGGTTTTTGATGTTGTACATCAAAAAACATCAAAAAATAGTGTCAAGAGATAAGCAAAAAATGCATATTAATAGAATTTTTAAACACGATCGAGATACCATCAAAGAAGATTTTTTGATCATCAACCACATAGAGACGGTGGTTAATTGTTCACTTCGTAGCATGTTAATTGCTAACGTGATTTTCAATATTATTGTAGCAAAAAGGATAGCAACATTTGTGTATATCAATCAAAGGCTTGCTATTTGCGCCCATCTTCTCCTTGCGTTCAAAGACAATGCAAAAATGTCATTGTGGATAACTAACTTGCTTGTTGTTTGGTGCCTAAGAGCACACTCGGAGACCAACTTGCACATCATTGGCCTTGACGTCATCACTTGCTCGCTTAGAAGCAATATAACATCTATCAATACTCTCAAAAATCAATCACAAAACTTCAATTTCAAAAATCAATCACGCAACTTTATTTCAATAACTAATTGCACAATGTTCATACATAAGTCAAGGATAGCATAAGTAGACGTGTAAGCAAAATTCAGTTTAGGTAGTTTAGGCGGTAAGATTTTTTATTGCCTATATCAAGCAGATTTGAACATAGTCGTTTATGAATGAGAAGATTTGGAAGCTAATGAAGCTTCAAAAAAATTAAATTCAATTGATT